ACTTCAAGTTGGTTGTTTTCTTATCGGCTCCTTGGTGAAATAGAGACAGAGGCAGTTAACAACGCTCCCGTGGCGTTAGACTACCTGATTGTGATATATTTTATTGCTTGCTACCACTTGGCCCCTTTGGCCCCTGCTCATTTATTAAAGGCTGGTATAGCAGAAAGTACGAAAGTATCCAGCTAGATTCAGTGCTGCCCAGGCATCGTCGTCAGCCAGGCTTTGCTCTGGTCCGGGCCCTCGGCTGTCACCCACCGTCCACACCCAGGGGGTCGGCAACCCTGCCCTGCATGCGAATCTTTATTGAGGACCGCTTCGTGACGTTGATGATGGACTGCCATCTTGTATTCACGTGCATTGCGGAGGCTCTTGAAATCTCGATCTGAAGTTTTCATGACTGCAATGATCCATACTCTGTGGTTCTTTCGGTAAAGTCACGTAGGTATAAAATAAAATACAAAATTTTTTAATAAATTAAATCACGACGTTTCGGAAGCAACACAGCTGCTGTGGTGTTCCCACCTGATGACGGATGCTTGTGTTGCTTCCGAAACGTCGTGATTTAATTTATTTTTATTTTTTTTATTTTATTTTATACCTACGTGACTTTACCGAAAGAACCACAGTATGGCTCTTGAAATATTGAGGGTTTTGTTTTTTGCGAATTCAAAAGTAAAAATGGCTCTTGTTGTTAGTTTGGTTGCCGACCTCTGGTCCACACCTACGCTGCTTCCCAAGTCTCCTTTTGCTAACCCACCATACCATCTTTTTAACTTAAATACATGTATTGGGTTTATCACGTGTCTGGAACTTACAGAAAAGGGTTTGCTTGAAGGGTATGCTGGCGTGGGGGGGAGGGGGGAAATGGTTTATGGGATGGGTCCTCTGGGTTAACAATTCCCCCATAACGCATATGTCCATTTGGGGGAGGCCCATTTTGCAATCCCACCATGAGACCTGACTGAAACCTGGCCCAATACGTACGGTGGGGTAAAGTGTGGGCACTCTTGCTGAGACGTCTGATCAAGGTGGATGAGTACTCAAATACCCTCCTGTAGGGGCTCTCCTCCCAGAGCGTCCTTCGCTGGAGGCCTTTCTGCCAGCAGTAGTGTGATGAAGCAATTTACAGGGCTGAATTCTTGACATTTTACCAGCTTAGAACCTGTGCTCAGGTCAAATTGAGCATTGCAAGAGTGTAAAAAAACTACCTGGGCATAGTCGCCTTCAAAGGCACATCAACGTACTGCATACTGACCCTGTTAAATCAGCTGTTCTTGTGGTTAAACTGAGTCACGCTCATTTCATCGTGTAAATGAAGGTGGGCTCATACACAGACCATCGCCTCCTTTTGTTGTAGAATGTGGGAGCTTGTGTTTTACAAGTATTGTCTCGAGATGCTTGACATCATTGATATTCACAGCTCTCCAGGCAAAAAAACATCACAGGTGCCGTGTTAAATTAGAAAAAAAAGGCTGCATTTTAATTTAAACCTGTCTGACCAAAAGGGCTGTTCTCTGCAAACTCTCATGTTCTAAGTTGCTGCGAAACAAATTCAACTGATCGCAAAAAGTGGCAACATGTTTGTGCTACAGTTGACCCTCCATGTACAATACTGGGTTTCCTTCGGTTGAACTTGACCCTACCATGGGAATGTGGAAATTCCACCACTGGCTCTGGGCTACCAACAGAGGTTTAGTGCTGCTGCATGTTCAGTTGAGCTGGGAGAGCCACTGACTTTTTGACTATGCTGTATACATATAGTAGTATGTAACTAACCTACCACCAAATTACCTGGCATGTCCCCCTCTCTTATCAGATTTTGGAAGCTAAGCATGTTTTGAGCCTGGATAGTGCTTGGATTGTGGCCAACATATACACGTTACTATAGGCTGTGCCAGACCTATGTAGTGGGCAGCAGAGGGGCAGTGCTGCAAACTACACTGTTGTACTGTCAGAATCTGTATTTCTGCTGGAGTAATCTGATGAGCTATGAAGCTCGTTTTCACAGATGTCCAGTTGTGGTGGGTTGCCAAGATAACACATTCCTGCGGAGGGAGCTGGTAGGAACGTTGGGTTGCTCGGTCAATGGCCAGGGCCAACGGCGGCGTGGTGTATTCCGCAAATATGGCCGACTGTGAGGGCGGGCACAAGCCGGCGTGAGTAGGTTAAACGTTGAGCACCACGGGGTGACCAGCCCCTCCCCACCCAGCCCCACCCCTCCCATTTTTGGATGCACGACGGACGGACACAATAATCCCCTGTGGGCTGGTGGAACCAGGTGGTTCCTACCAGTAAAACAACAAACAATACAAACGCGATAGGAGTGCAAAGTACATGAAAGGTAAGCAAACCACAAAAAAAATTAAACTGAACTATTTTTATTTTACCAGGTAGAGCCCACTGAGCTATTAGTTTATTTTTCAAAAGTGACCTGGCTATCACAAATGACAGCTCAACGAAGTGGCTTATCATGCGGAGATATCTAGCAGCCAAATAATCTAAATGCATGTTCTTAAATGTACTTGTGTGCACCAACATCGAGGCCATTGACCGGTGTGGTGAAGTATGGTCAAATAGCCTCCATGATCTGCATAGTGTGGGGAGGCCCTCATCCAGTATTAGTTGATGACGTACGTATGCGTCATCGTAATGGAACTGGAAGAAAAAATAAAATAACTTTTGTGGTACCGAGACTCCCACAAGGCCATGTGGGAGGGTGTGTGGAACAGTTTGATGCCACTTTTCATAGTGCGGTCGTGTCGCTACAGCTCTTTGCGTTGAGGACAGTGCCTTTAAAAACGATGCTATGCCTCTATAATTACAAATTTACGCTGGGCCATTGTGCGTTCCGAGATTCAGCGGTGAATGGGACCCACCCTGCTGCAACTTGCAGTCGGCTCGGAACGGGAAAGGGTTAATATATTCTCCTGGTGCCAAATGTTCATGTGAATCCGTGGAGCCATGTTGACGTTGCCACCGCGTGTTGTCATTTTGAATAAGCTTCTCGTTTACACATTTTCTGCTGCTACCCACGAGCAAATTGTTTTTTTGTTCATTCACCAAAATAACGGTGAAAGTGCCGGTGTAGACAATCTTGTTAAAATGAAAACCTGGCGTTTCGAAATCTGTGGATTTCTGTGTCATTTACGGTTCAAATACGTGTTGCACATACAGAGACGTGCGCGCGCACACACACACACAGCAACATTCATTGTTATTTACCGTGTTATTTATCGCAAGGAGAGCTAGCCTGATGGGAAGAGTCCCTTCTGCGAAATAGCCTAGTTAATGCCGTGTGACCTTCACTCTTTCAAGACAGTTGGAATGTTGTCTCGCTCTTGTTGTAGCGTCCCTGGATTTTGGAATTGGCAAGGCTTCGTAACTGCCCTTGAGCCTCCTGTCTGTCCGCCACTTCTTTTGGGTTAAAATTGGGGGTGGGTGAACACACTCGGGGAAAATGTGAAGGTGCGGCCCTGCAGGTGCTTTTCTCGTACCGCTGCCGGCGGAAAGGGCCTCCGCTTGAGGAGGCTCAAAAGAGAGCCCCCTCGAGAGGAAACTCTCTGCCACACCAGACAGGCGTCTCGGCAGAGGCCGGAGTGAAACCCGCACCTTTTCATCCCAGCGCACGCGACCTTGCCGATCGACTTGACCGCACGCCGACGAGGGGTTGGATATTTTGTTGGCAGCCACACCGCCAGTTTGTTGCAGACGTGACTCGGCGTGAGCCGTACACGACAAATGGAACGGTGCTCATTCCAGTGACGGCTTGCAATAAGGAGTCGTGCTGTGTTGGGGGTTTGGAGGAACAGGGCTGTGTATGAGGCTGTTTTGCCAGATTCGTAGACCGTCTTCTGTTCTTCAAGCGCTTGGTGATAGGGTCGCTATTTATGAATGTTTCTCTTTGCGCTTTACTGCCGGCCACTGGTCCAATGTGTTTTTTGGGGAAATTGCTCAATTTTAAGAATAACATCGAACCGGTGTGTGTGTGAATGTTCAACTTCTTTTTCACCGTGCGAGTTGGACGTGTGTGGGAAGGACGACAAACTAAACACAAAAAGCAGTGACCAGCCGTATGGATTGGAAAAACAAGTTTTACCAAAATACAAAACCTTGACATTAAGTTAACATTAACTTAACAAACCTTAACATGAACCTAATATTAATACGTCAGCATACGGGTTATGGCTCCAAAAGAGAAGTGCATTAGTTAGATAATTACGTTCCAAATGCTTTAGCGGCTGAATTATCTAGATGTGCTATTTAATTAGTAGCAATCAGTGCTTTCATCGAAAATGTCTGCCCTAATTTGAAAGTTTCTACGGACTTAATTGCCTATCAATCACATTGCAGCAACTGTACGATGCACATTCTTCAGTGAGAGATTCCTCATGCATTGTTGTCGCAAGAATCGTATCATGCGGTGGCTGGGTAGCTGAAGGGTTGGAGCACCGCGCCCACAAAGCCGTGAGGCTGGGTTCGAATACGGGTCTCAGCTCAGCCGTGAGAGACCACGCAAAAAAAAATCACAATTATACACTTCACTTAATTTGGCATAAATTCCAGCAATGAGAGTTATGTAGTTTTGACTGCCGTGCGATGAATATTTCTCAGGAGCAGGGCTTGTGGGACCGTGCACTTCCGAGTGTGCAGATTAAGGGGGGGTTGACTTGAAGGCATCTCGGTGTCAGCCCTCTCATATCGGCTTCTCATAAAGCACGTTGTGTTGCACTGCACTGACAGGTTTTAAATGGGTACTTTGTTTTGTGAAATGGCATTGTGAACACAGTTGCAAGAGAAAGCATGGGGGAGGTGAGGCATAAATAATAAATTATGATAATAAAAATGGGAAAAGATGAGACTTTTTTTTTATCTTCAGAGAAAATCAACAGAGTTATTTTTCAGAAGTATTGTGCGACGGGTGCTCCGTAGCATGGCCCAGTCCTCCTCCACCTCCTCCTTTTTAACGCACTGCCGCAATGTGTCATCTCTCGCCCCGGCAGGTACGGGCGATATTGTGGCGGTGATGATCCCCTACTGGCAGGGTCAGAAGATGCGGATGCTCATGAGGAACGCCACCCTTTGGGCGTTCATCACCAAGGGCACACGCAACGTGCAATACACGCGCGGGCCCTCCGTCGTGTTCGTCTCCGTCTCCTTCATCCTGCTCATGATCGTCTCGCTCGCCTGGCTCATCTTCTACTACGTGCAAAAGTTCCGCTACGCCTCGGCTCGCAACCGCAACCAGGTAATGCCCGCTCGGCTGGCGGCGGCTGTGTGCGCTTGACTGGGCTCAGGGCCGCGGAGCTTCAAGTGTCGGAGGAAGAGGCTGTTGGCCCCCCTGTGAGCAAGCTAGCCCCCCGATGTGCCATCTGCCGAGGAGGTGCGACGGGTGATTCCAGAGCCCTTAAACCGTAGTGTTGGCCTTCGATGGTGATACTTTGAGCCAGTAATGGAAATGGCACATTCCCATAACAATGGCCAGCCATACTCTTGGTTCTTTCGGTAAAGTCATGTAGAAGGGAAATAATAAAAATGTAATACAATTCTCACGACGTTTCGGCCACAAAGGACGGCTGCTTGCGTTGTGGCCGAAACGTCGTGATAATTTTATTTTATGACGTTTTATTGTTATTATTTTATTATTTCCCTTTTACGTGACTTTACCGAAAGAACCAATAATATAATGGCCAGCCAGTCTCTCTATTAATGTAAATTGTGTTTTACATTAATAGACATCACTTTTGGAACAGTTTTTGGTGTTGGTGTGTATTTGTGCAGTGGTTTGCACACTTCACTCTGATTCTAGTGACTGAGGTTCAATTTACTTCAGTGCCTTGATGTATCTGAACCTGTCTTGGGCCTCTGCCTAGTTCGACTCAGCCTTCAATAATTACCTGGAATGGTGTAAAATATAGCGTAGGCAGCCGGGCATCGGGCTGGCCGCACTTAACGCCACGCCGACCTTCATTAATAGATGCTCACCAACAGTATTTTCCCAAACATTGTGCTTAAACAGGGATTTGTGTCTCTGTGCACGTTTATGTGGCTGTATGCAACTGATTGGCCTTGGCAATGTGTTTTGGTTTGTCTCTTTTAATTTCCGATTCATTTAATTTGATCAATTCATTTTGCATGGCCACTTCTGGCTGCTGTGTCACAGCTTGGACACAAACACTCCTTAGAATCGTTTGTCCTTGGAATCCCAGTGTCCCAAGTCCAATTCTTGAGAAGGCACACGAGTGACAGATTGCTTCTGCCCCTGGCGTGGACTTCCCCAAGGTCTGTTCCGTTTTAAAATGTGTACCTGATGAGATATGTCTACAAACAGCAGCACATATCACAAAAAAATATGGCTTGGCAGCGTGCTGTCTCTACTGACCAGTCATTTCCCATCGTGGCTATAACCAGAATAATAATTACTGAATAGCTCTTCCATCAACAGCCGCCATATTAAGAGAGTGCCTTTTGTATTGATAATTCAACTATAGGCTGCATTGTGACCAAGCACTAAACTCACAATGCAATGGTTAAGAGTTAATATGCTGGGCAGGGTCAGCTAAGCTCATCGTCTAATTCAGGGTCAAAATTGGAAAACCACCTTGTGGGAAATCACTCCTCTTTGTGCTATGAATAGACTGGACCCCACCATAAGAATGTGGAATTGCTGCAGTGGGTCAGCACTCCCCACGGGGATCAGCACACCACCCAAAGCCAAGACACGATGCCTTTGTGTTTTTTTGTTTGTTATTTACGTTTTTTTTTCCCCCTTTTCCTCCCGTGTTGAGGCGGTTGCCCTCGGATAGTGAATGCCAACCGGAGAGATGATGCATTGCGAGGATTTCCTCACCAGATTGAATATCCCACCCCAAGTGGGAGTGCGGGGCTCAGATACCATTGACGGAGGGCGCGCTCGCCTCCAAGGGTATAAACATGCAAATGTGAAACGCGAACCCATTTGTTTTGCTCCCGTCATTATCAGCGAGGCAAAGAAAATGAGCCGCGCCACCACAGAGGTGGCGTGAGCTTGCGCGTCACCAATGAGGGGTCCGAGCGGTTGTGGAGTTTTCGGCATGAGGCCCAGCCAGTGCGCGGGGGTGGATTAGACCGGCCTGCAGGCGGTTGGAATCGAAATTGAAAGGGGGGTGGCTTTTGACCGAGGTCATATTCTTCCAGGTGACCCACGCAGCGCAGATATTGTGCTGTTGAATCGTTTGTATGTTAATGTGTGTAAAAGGGAAAAGGTGCAGCCCTGAAACTGCTTGTTGTGCTTCTGCAACCGTCTGGAACGTTCTTCCTTCCGATATTAGGAAGCCAATGGAGCGATGTATTTTTACATTTAGTTTGAAAACTCATTTATTTTGAACTGCTTTTTTAGAACTGCTCGTGTTTAGTTTGTTGTTCTTCCCCCGTACCTCCGATTGGCACGGTTGGCAACGTACGGTGCGAAAGGAGTTCAACGAGCATACATCCACGCCACTGCTGGTGGAAGGATGTCTCCACTAGAGGTGTCTTCCCAGAGAGCACCTCTTCACGATATTTGGACTCCTCTTCCATACAGACCAAACATCTTGTAAGAGGTGGAAGTCCCCATACATGTGACCTGCCGGTCAGCTGGCTGATGTGTGAAAATTTACACCGGAAGATTGAACCCCCTGTCCAGCATGCTTAAGCATTACACCGTGGCAGCATCCACCACATTAATATCCCAATATATAGCATTAATATGTACTATTGTGTATATATGGCACGTACACACGTGTGTGGGTGTGGGAAGCAGTCACGTAGCGGTCAGCGCCACGAATCCGGCGACCCGAGTTCGATTCCCGCTCGTGGCCAAACACCCAGTGACGAATATCTGAACCGGTCCTCGGCCTCCCCTAAGTCGAGTCGGCCTCAAATAATGGCTAGCTGGTGTGGTGTGTAAACATCGCCACTGGGGAGACAAAGGGCAGTCGGGACTGGTGCTGGCCACCCACCCCCTCGTGTACTTTGCCGGCCTTCATAGGTGCTCCCTAACAGCACTTGCCCCAACGACCTGTGCAGGCTATATGGGGGAACTTCATCTTTTATGTCTCATTATGCTTATACCTGGTGGATTTGTTACTGTGGCTAGAACGCTCGACTGCTTTTTCTCAGTAATTTCTGCAGGAAGTGCTGCTGCCTACTGAAAAGCAGATGTTTAAAAGAACGCATGACATCCCCATTTGTAAGAATAGAGCAAGGCCATTCGTATGCAAGAAGTGTGCGGAAATGTTTTCAACGCAGTGTGGTTTTTGAGACGTGATCTGTCTACTGCTGAACAAAGGCCTCATCCAGGAATCTCTGTCCCACGGTGCCCTGCAGCGTCACAACGCTGTTGCCGATCTCATTGCTCCGTCTCCTTGGTGGCCATCCTGTCACCTTTGATCCCTCCTCGCCTGTAATGTGATTTAGTCTGAAATATGAACGTTAATACCCCTGCCCCAGTGAGGCTAGCCCCCCCCACCCCCCACCGGGTCGTCTTTTGGAAAGGTCCTGAATCTCAGCGGGCTCTCACATCGTTAAATTATCGACATCAAACCAATACACGGTTGAGTATAATACTGCGCATATATATTTGGGTTGTGTAACATTTCAAGGCCTCGGTTATGTCGGCTTACTTCGAGACCACAGCGTGCTACCTGTAATTTAAAATTAGATTTTTTTTCCCCCATTGCAAAAGCATATCACATGTAAGATTGAGAGGAACTGCTTTTGAAAAGTTTAATCACCGCCAACGTGTCATATGATGCTGTCCAATACCTCGCTTTGCCTTTCGCGCACACAATGCAACCGTGTGTCCCATCGGTTCTTAAATACGCGCGGAGCAGTAAAATAGATCCTCTTTGTCACTATTTTAGCGCATTTTGGCAATGGTACCATTTTGACATTTCAATGGCTCTCTGTTTCCTGTGCCTATTTACAAATTCGGTCATTCAGTTATTTTTGAGATTGTTCTAGCAGTCCGGGGTTAATTTACACGCGGGTTGTTGAGAGTGTTGACAAATGAAAACAATTTTAGAACACACACGCTTTCATTGACTCTGCCCTTGGAAGAAGTGACTGAGAAGGATGTGTGTGGTGTGTGTGCGTGTGTGTTGGTCTGCGAGTGAACGGTTTTAAAACACTGCGTTTGTAGGAAGATATTAAAATGATTTGATGACATTAACACGCATTAATGTTCCTGCTAAATCTAACGTGACCTTTTTACAGCGATAATCGCATCAATCTCATAATTATTTCTCCTGGGCTTTACGGTAACTTTTTCATTATTCAGTTATATTTCAGAGTATTTTCCTGCTTAAATGAAAATGGTGCATTTCTCATCATGTCCGTTGTGAGGGCCTTGAATCGGTGCTATCCATCTTGTGTCACCCTCGTAACTGAGAACTGATGCTCACGACAGATCTTTTCCACCTTTCGCGATCTTTAGCATCTATCCTCTCTCCCCTTCCATATTCCCTTGCAGAACAATCTTAACCCTTTCCCATTCCGATGCCGTACGTGTACGTACACGTATCTCATTGGAACAGCATCGAAAGTAAAAGGCCAAGCGGGAGGGCATGTGGCGCAGTTTGGCACCAGCTGTCGTGGAGTGCGGTTGTGTGGCTACAGTTCTCTGTACAGTTCTCTGTAGCCACACAACCGCAACTTTCAGACGTCTCTGAATGGGAAAGGGTCCGTAATATCCACAGCTCTCTCTCGTAGGACGTGTCCCGCATGTGCCACCTTCCCATCAAGACTCGTCGGTGCTCGATATTCACGTTGTTGTTGTTGTTGTACGTACGTATGTACGTTGGGCTTCCATCGCACGCCCTACGTAGCCAACCGTGCTCATTGGATTCGTGTTGTCGGCGATGATCGACCCGCCACGTGACCACCAGCGTCAGCTGCTCGCCAAGCGGTACGAATTTATTTGGCCCCCCGAGAGGGACGGTGGAATGAGCCAACCTCCCTCACCGGGATTTTGAACCAGGAATTTCTATATACTAAAAACCAACGGTGTTTTTTTTTTTTCCACGAAGCGTTTATTATCCCTAGATGTGGCTTGATACATGTCGTTTACAATACTGTAAACAAAACCCTAAACTATTTAATCTTGATTTGAAGCTTTCGTGACTGCAGGAATCCATGCTCTTTGGTTCTTTTGGTAAATTCACGTAGGTATAAATGAAATAAAAATAAATCGCGACGTTTCGGGCGCAACACGAGCATCCGTCATCAGGT